CTACTGACAACCTACCAACACCCTACTGACAACCTACCAACACCCTACTGACAACCTACCAACACCCTACTGACAACCTACCAACACCCTACTGATAACCTACCAACACCCTACTGACAACCTTCCAACACCCTACTGACAACCTGCCAATACCCTACTGACCACCCACCAAAACCCTACGGACAACCCACCAAAGCCCTACTGACCACCCACCAAAACCCTACTGACAACCCACCAAAACCCTACTGACAACCTACCAACACCCTAACGACAACCTACCAACACCCTATTGACTTCTAATTAAGAGTAAATGGTTTGAACCCAGGTGTTGAAGTTTGTTGTGAAATGCGATTGTCAAGGTGAGTGTAGTCTTGAGAAAGACTGTTGTTGGTGGTGACTGACGTTTGGACAACCTGAGGGGAAGTCATCTAGACTCTTAAGACGGCTTCCCTTCAGGTTGTCGAAACGTCAGTCACCACCAACAACAGTCTTTCTCAAGACTATACTCGCCCGGATGACCACATTTCACAACAGACTTCTGATCGCTGTTAAGAGCATTACCTGGCTGATAGGGTACACTTGAAGTGCATCCATACCAATCTTGGGATTGTAGACTTTAAGTTTGCAGTACCCAGCATCGATAACAAACATGATACCATCCACTGAAACACACAAACCAATTAAATAGACAATAAGCACTGTGCTCTCTGATTGGTTAGTACCTGTGACAAATAAAACATACACAAAGCACCCCATTTTTTAACCAAGGGCACTGCAAAGAGGTGTTATTGAGGGAGGAAAACTGGAGAGCCCAGAGAAAAACAATAATCGATTCTAGAGAGAGAGCCAACAAACTCTTCTTGAATGCAGTGCCAAATCAAGGATTTGAGCCCAAAATCCCAGAAGCGAGAGGCAAGTTTCAAAGATGGTGCCTATTTCATCCTCTAAAATAGTCCCACAATGCACTGCAATACCAACCTGACCCTCAGGTTTTTCCTCAAACTTAAAATGGTTAATAATGACAAGCTGAAAAAGAAAGACTATACAAACCTGTCAATGAAGTTTCTGCAATATTCGTGGCCACCACACATTTTCTGACGCCATCAGGAGCCTTTTGAAAGATCTTTGCCTGTAAATCTGAAGGCAGCTGGGAGTAGATGGGGAGTACAGCTAGTGGAGGCGCTTCATCTACTTCACTCAGTCTCTCTGAGGAAACAAATAGAATATTTATGGGTAAACAGTTATAATGATGACGATGACAATGACGATGACGATGACCAAGACAATGACGATGACGATGACGATGTCATGACGATGATGATGACGATGACCAAGACAATGACGACGAGGATGACGATGACAATGACGATGAAGAAGACAATGATGATGACGATGACCAAGACAATGACAATGACGATGATAATGATAATCATAGAATAAGGAGAATAGCAATAATATACACCAAATATATACAAATTAATGGGAATATAGAACAATAGCCAAACGACGAACAAGTTGCCAACAAACCTGTGATGAGTTCACATGTCACTTCAATATCCTCTTGCCCAGGCATGAAAATCAGAATGTCTCCTAAAATGATGTTTAAATGATTTTAAAACATTCTCTACATTCAATACTATGTAGTTGGTGTGGAAAATGTGTGGTTCCAAAAATATATCCATACCCCACCATGGAGGAAATCGAAAATTCCCCCAGGGGGTGGGGGTCAGAGCAAAATTTCAAAGTTCGTTTGGAAGAAAATTGGAAATTCCAAAAGGGGTGGGGGAGACAGGGTAGAAAAACGGTTTTTGGCCTTTCGCCATAAGGACAGCTTTACGTATTGAAGCTCAATATTTTGTAAACGCGTTCTTTTGGAGCCAAATAGCAAAATATAAAAATGCGACCAAAATTTATTGAATGCGTACTTGAGATATAAAGCCGTGTACTTTGGGAGAGGTGATATTTTGATCAGCAGAAAAACTGACGTTTTCGTGAATAATAATAAGTAGATTTACAGTCTAATTCGACAAAATTTCCTCACTAGTTTCGAGCAGCAGTGACACAAATGAAACTCTTAAACATTTGGAGTATTAAACTCAGTTAAATTAAAAAATCGTGAAAGTAGAGGGCTTGTCGTTTTTCTACACTGTCAGTGGGGACCTTTTTCAAATATCCTCTATTTATTACACTTTTAGGGTCGATATCCGTGTGATAAAGCCGTGAATAAAAGCCATATCAGTGGAGTGATATGATATCACTTCATGGTGAACTGAAAATTGTACATTTTGTCATTTTATCGACCTTTTAAATGCATAATAAACAAGTTATCGCATGTTAAGAGCTTGATATCTTTCTTATTCACTCGTTTTCCATACCATACCATCTCCTTTGCACTGGATGCACTTGAGAGAGATATAGCTTCATCTTTCATTTTTTCTTATTTTATATACTTTATTTTTATATCGATACACTTATTTCAATAAAGTTAGTCACCTGAAAAGCTACAAAGCTGAGACCGACAAGGATTATGGATAGATACATTTGACATGTTTCAACCACTTGATAACTGTCGATGGACTCGAGATCTTCTACCAGTTACAAGTTCACCTCCTCTGAGTATCCTCAACTGCTGCAGTTTGTGTCAAAAGCTTTACTTGTTGGATATAAAACATTTCCCCATGATTCCCAGCGATTACAGCTTTCTAGGTTTTTGGTGTCTGACTTTATTGAAATATGTATATCATCATCATCATAGTAGTATATTTATATATATATATATAATTAATAGATATATTTTATTCTTAATTATCTTACTGTAAAGCGCATCAAGGTTCTCAGGATGCGCTAAACAAATACTCTTTTATTATTATTATATCACTCACTAGCTCACAGATCCCCTCGTTCGCGATATCATATGGAAACTCGTGAATAAAAACGATATCAAGCTCTTAACATTTAATATTTCCAACATATTTGCACACTTTTATTCATAGGCGCTACAAGCTGGCTCTATTCTAGAGGTTTTGCGCCATCACGTGAAGCCAGCCATGTTAGATGACAGGAAACATAAGAAAGAATTCAATAGACTCTTTTCGAATTCCAAATTACCGCTGTGTTTCTTGATTACAGACTCATTTACTCAGGGTTAGCCTCGAGTTTGTGTAGAATATTCACGTGTTACAGTCAAGGTCCATCGAGTTTCAAAGTGTTTGTATTGTTGAAGTTGTGCATTCCTTACTTTACCGTTGGTATTTGTAAATATTTAGACACTGATATGAGGCTAGTCCTGTAGTAAATAAGTCTGTAATCAAGGAACACAGCGGTAGTTTGGAACTCGAAAAGGGTCTATCCATGGAAGCAAACGGATTTTATTGTTCTGCCATTTAACCACAGGCAGCCCAAGCTGTATGTGATAATATCTATGTACCTTTGGTTGGAGTCAAGTGAATCTGCAGAGCTTGTTTCACGGCACTTTCAACGTAGTCCTCCAACACAGTACGACTGAAAAATATTTCTACTGGAAATGTTCTCCCTGGAATCTAAAACAGAGAGGAAACTGGTTTGACTCACAAGCTCATATTCATATAAATTTAGAGCATGAGTGGGCACAGGTAGCCCAAGCTTGGTTTCTGTGGTGTCCTGTTATAAGGAAATGTATGGGGATTCTTCAAAAACTTCAATAAAATCATTGAAACGTGAAATGAAGCCTCGAAATTTTACCCGATCATTGAGAAATAGCACTTCTTTCGCTCTGTGTGGTTATTCTTTGAATCACGTTTCAATGATTTCATTGAATTTTTTGAAGAATCCCCATACATTTCCTTATAACATGACAACACAGAAACCAAGCTTGGGGTACCTGTGGAGTGGGAAGCGATATGGTAAATTTGTAGCCCTTCCATATCTTAGCTTTAATACGCAGCTGTAACTACGCGTTGTGGTTGGATGAAATACTGAAAGACAATGGGAAGCCATTTCAATGTTACGGCATGTCGTGCCGTGTATGTGCTGTAAGTCAGTACCGTATGTTTCCCACTCATACGATAACCATTCTTATGGGAAGCCATTTCAGTGTTACGGGATATCGTACCGTGTACGTGCTGTAAGTCAGTACCGTAT